CCCCCAAAAAAACAGTACTCCATTGTTTGTATTGAATAGTAGGTTGAATTAGAGTATATTCCAGTTCAGTTATCTTAATCTAATTTATTATGTATTTTTTTCTCGACAGCTATTTAGCTCAACCAACATTGTTTTCAATTGACATGAACTTATGAAGTCAATGCATATATAAATATAAACACTAAAGCATGCTTCATATTTTGGTCATCTTTAAGAACAATACCAGAATAATAATATCAAGCAGTAGAAAATTAAACTCCATTCATGGCAAATTTTAAAAATGCTGGTATAAGTTTGCATTTTTGGTGTTCTGTTTTTATGTGCCTGTGTAAATAATATGTGATGGAACTAAAATGGTAGTACCATTGCATAGGAGATAGCCTTTAACAAAATGTTTTATTCTTGTATATGGGAAGTAATCGGGAGCAGCTCGGAGCACAAAGCATCCTGCATTCACGCAGGATCCAGGGAACCGCAACAAGGAGTATGATATAGGCAGCATACCCTAATGCAAGCATCAGTGACTGATTTTACAGCCCAAATTTATGACCTATAGGTTATCGAAGGTAAAATACGCAGGATCCAGGGAAGAACCGCAACAAGGAATATGATATAGGCAGCATACCCTAATGCAAGCATCAATGACTGATTTCACAGCTCAAACTTATGACCTATAGGTTATCGAAGGCCATTTTACCGTTGCATGAGAAGTAATAGTTGTTGCTAATTTCTTCAATTCTTGTCCGTACAAGTTTTTTGGTGTTTGGCCAATTTTTTATTTTTTTTTCATAAACACAAGTAACTGAAGTTGCTGTTTGGTGATTATAATTTGTAACTTCATATTACAGAAGGTGCAAAGAAGAATTTGCTGACATTTATATATAATTCTAAATAAATGATACTTGCAAATAGTATTTCTATAATTTCTACATGTATATTCGCACAATAAGGGAAAGTGCACAGATAGCCGATTTTGGGAACCCCAATTAAACAATAACCAAACTCAATACTTGATTATAATGCAAAGTATAACACATTAATTTTCTTATTCATGAAACAAAACGACCCCTAATTGTGTTGGAGAAACGATATTACTACACTCTATCAGATTTTGCTAGAGTAATATGTGAGAATTATTATTAGGATGAAAACTATATATTAATATTTTCGTTTTTATTTCAATTTGAATAGCAATTGGGATTGATCCCGCAATGACTCCATTAACGGTAAAACAACTGCTTCTTATAGCAAAAAAGTAGAACCCAAAAAATCAAAATCCCGTAACGACAAATTTTGAGTAGACTGTTCTGGCTAGAATGGACGATAACCCTTATTTTACACTTGTGGTGTTCAGACTAACTTACGCGCACCTCACTTAATCCACCAGGTAGTAGCTACCTTCTACCAACATAGATACCGAGAAACTGTCTGCCAAAGCTTAGACTGAGAAGAAGAAGTGATCTAATATCTCTTGCCTCTGTTCAGATTTGAACTTGGTCCCCCGTGATACATTCCAACTTCATTAATCGCTAGGCTACATCCTTGGGTGCAAATACTCTAGTTTCCAATGTACTCGAGGAAATCACCATTTTGAACACTTAAATTACAATTGCAGCTATGAACTGAGAGAAAAGCAGCTCTCAATATGTGGCTTCATTGCTTCCCTTCCCAAAAGATGTTTGTAAATAAAATCAAAGTTGATTAAGTCATATATCAAATTTAGAAACACTTGTTAGAGCAATGCCAGAAGTAATAGTGTTGCAAGTTACTCAATTCATGCTTTTCTTTTCAAATATGATCTGCTCCTCTTCCCAAACCAGTGGCCAAATATATGACCCAAAATTCAATTTTCAGAAAGCCATTTTTCTCATCAATGAGGATTTTCTTTGGAGTCCTCTTGACAAAAGTCACAGAAGTCATTAGGAATTCTTTTCTGTAAACAATAATCTATTCTTTTTTCTAGCATTTCTAATCTTCTCTCAAAAGACAATACTCCAACATGCATTGTCCTAGCATCAACTTGTGCAACTTTGGCACAAGATCGAAGTAATATGTAATAATCAGCATGTGTAGCATAAATATAGGCACCATCTTTCTTTCTTGCATACCTGATGTAGCCATTCTTCTTCTTCACATATTTTCTAGGTGGGACATAACAGAATCTGTTTTCTTGCATGTTTTCTTTCAGTTGCCTCAATGCTGTCTCCTTACGCGACTCTGCAGAAGGTCGATCTCCATGTCCTTTATTTGGGGAATAAGCCTTTCGCTCCAAGCCACATTCTGAGCAGTTAGCTGCATTAAAATTGTCATCATCCAGTGATATGTCGCATTTGCATCTATTGACACTAAATTTCTTGCTTGATCTTGGAGTGCTTTTGCATACACCCCTTGATCCCTTGTGTTGAAAACCATTACATGTGTGTGGTTCTACTTTCTCATCATCTGATGCTTCTTCAGCCTGAAATCAAACAATTTAAAAAGTAAACAAACAAAGACGAGTACGATGCTGATACCGCTGGGAAAAGAAAAAAAGAAAGAGGAATACAATGAACGATAAAAGCTTAATCTCTAGCACAATCAAGAAGCACTTGGATAAAGGCTCCTATTGATACCTTTTAATTGTTCGTTTATTCCTTCCAGTTAAGATAGCCAATGGCAGCAACATAGAGAAAATAAATCAATGGTATAAATGCAAGAAATGATTCCACCCTGTTAGAATTAAACTCATAGAATTTATCTGTTAAAACATTCAAATAGTTCTTTCTACATATTTTTTTGACAAGTCTCTTTCCGCAATTTTTAGCTTCTAAGAAATCCCTACCCAAGAAAAGAAATACAGGTGAACACACGGACATATCAAATGGGTTAAACTGACAACTGACAAGGATACAAGCATAGGGCCAAGAAAATAAATTGATTTCTAGATGAAGTTCAGAATTTAGTGATTACAGTACCTTATGGCTTTGATAGAAGTCCCACAAATCTTCAATTATCCTTTCTTCTTCATGATCTTCATAAGAAGGTTCAAGTCCAGCAAAAACCACATCTTTGCAATACTGAAGATATGATTGTAAATCTTTCGAAAAATCTGCTAAAAGCAAGAAAAGATATAATTCAAAGAAGTTAACCTGCTATTCAACTTTAACCCTACACTATTACCATGTTTTCTGAAAAACATAGTGACTAATGGAATTACCATATGTATCACTGAGCTCATCATATTTTGCTTCAAGAATCTTCAAGAGCTCCAAAGCATCAAAATCAGATTCATTTACATCTGGCATACTATAGTTAGGATCTGAATCTTGTGAAGCCAAGTCTTCCTCAGCAGAATTGCCTTTTCCATTGCAACTGAAACTCGGTTCTCCAATTCCATCCTCACCATCCGGTGCTAAACCACTAGAAGAAGATAAAATCATCTCCCATTTTCCACCATTAAGGTCATAAAGAATCCTTATTGTAACAATCAGAATAGACATCACACAAACACGAGAAGGCAGCCTCAACTCATTATCTGACAAATACAACTCTGGAGGCATAGACCACTCATACACTTGGCATGCCCGAGGAAGAATTTTTTCAACAGGAAGCGATAACTGCTCGAGATAACGGGAAGCTATAGCATGGAAGTTTACTGGAGGTAATTCCAAGCCTATTCTCCGAGCAATGGCAGTGGCAAAGAACTCTAATTTTTGCAAGGTGATAGATTGGATAGGCCTGAACATACGGCTGGTACTTATAGGGCATGCCCTTGAAGGAGGTCCCAGCTGCTTCTCAACTTCAAGAAAAGCAGCAAAATATGGGATCTTCCCTTCTGCCGCCCACTTCAATATGTCTGTTGGCAGGATTGCCTCCCTTGCCATGTGACAAGCAAGAAAAGAGATAGCTAGCGAACAAGATAATGGAATAATGCTGTGTAGAGATTTATGCCATATGGTAACTGCCCGTTTACCAAGTAAGTTGTGTGGTTCTGTTTTCTTGCTGCCACTAAGCATAGCACTATCTATCTCCCCTGCAACAAGCACCAGAATCAGGGAAAGGAGGGCGAGTGACATAGAGCAAGGAAACACTGCAATGCATAAATGATGTTGCAAAGTTCAACTCAGCCCAATTAAAGTAATTTGATTGTGTAAACCTATCCACTTTGCTAAAATATATGGGTTTAATGTTGTTACAACTTCGTCCACTTATCATTTAGAGAGGATAGAGAGGACATGTTCTTGCTTCACATGAAAAAATATAGAAGGCAAAAGAACCAAAAACCAAGAGGAACATTGCACTTTCATTGTACAACTTTTGCCATCCAGCACAAAGTAGTAGAATATGCCGAATAGCTAGTCCTACACTTCAAAAGCTTCAGGAGAATAGTCACAGCATTATAAATTTAATGCAAATGAAAAAAGCATCATCTTACTTTGGTCAAATGCACGATGCTAGGAAACAACAACATACCCAGTAATATCCCACACCGTGGGGTCTATGACATGGATAAAATCTAATTTTCCAATATGAACATCTAATGAATAGAAAAATATCATAGAGAAACAACAAATAAAATGAGAAGTGGCCTATGCTGCATATCAACAATAAGTTAATCAAATACCTTGAGTTTGAGACTCTGATTCATGAATGACATTGTCTGCCCACTCATCCGCCATAACCTTTTCATGTGCTAAATATCTCAGCCATACAGGCCCAACAACCCCAACAATTAGAGGGCTTACATTAAATTTCTCCACTAGTGCCTTACACTGCAATTGGATCATAACTTGTACCCCCATAACATACCTTAATCGAACTCCTGAATAATAATCAGTATATGCTAAGGAACATTGAGACGGCCCAAAATCAGTAGGTCCAGCAGGCTCAACTCCATCACCTTCATTATCCTCTTGGTTGTCATCTAAAGTGTTCAAAGTTTCTAGATGCTGGGACTGTGAAAGCTTAACCTGAGATACCGGCTCAGCTTGAAAACTCTGGGTGGGAGCACGGCGCTGACCGGCAGCATATATTCCCCCGTCCAGATTGAATAGGTCATCTTCATCAACACCAGTGTCAATGATGTCATTCGCTTGAGAGCCGCAAAGAGTGCAATAGAAGAATCCATCACCGCCATCATTAAAGGATATATTGCCACAAATCTCGCATCGTTTTTGAATCCGCTCTGTCATTCTATCTTTTTGTATGGTTCAGTGATCAAACTCTCTGACATGAAGTGTTGGTTAATTAGTGTACTAGCAGCAGGTTAACCCAAGGAGACTAAAACGATTAATCATAGAAACTGTTTTTCGCTTAAATTAACATTTCTTAGAAGCACTCTATGCCAACAAAATGATAGTGTTATTTGTTAAAATTCCTGTACTTAAAACACAAAATGATTCAACCAAAGCAATCTCAACTTTATGGAATTAATACTCCTCAAATAAATAAAAGATCTTTTTTCACCTCATTCTTCATGATTATATAGTTGGTTAATAATTACATTCTTACCTCAGTCCTAAAAGCTAATTGCAAGGGACAAAGATTATAATCATGTGATTATAACTTGAAGTATTAGATCATACAAAGTTTACTTTACTCCATTGAAGCATTATTTAGAACACCTTCAGGGCAATAAAGTGATGCAACATATTGCCTTCTCAAAAAAAAAAAAAATTTAAGCAATGCAGCAAATTGTATCAATATATTCTCGTAAGTTAGTGTACAAATTGTAACTGGAACAGATAATTTTTCCATTTAGGACTTAAATTATATGCATTCACTCTGTAAATTTAAATTATCATTCAAATTTAACTTATTGCAACATGTAACTTAAGAAATTTTTAAAGTTATAACTCACACATACTATAGAGATATTTAGCTGCACTTGATTTTATTCAACCTGATAATGTAAAAATCCTTTAAAACTGTCAATGTATAAAAGTTAATATCATCTATTTATATTTTTCCAAAAAAAAAAAATTTAAAAAGAGCTTAACCTTAAATCAAGCTGAAATCTCCTTCCACTTTCTACTGCTGTAGTTTCTCACTAGGTTTCATCGGCTTTGCTCCTCTGTGTTTTCGGTCTTAAGCTACTGTGTTCGGAGTTTATAGAATTCTATATATTTAGAGATTGTTGATCGTTGCCGGATTCTTCTCCCGGTGATTCTCCGGCGGCTGTGAATCCCGGCGATGATTCGCTCACCTCTGGGATTGCTCCAATTGAAGTTTCTCTTTTTACTAAAACCTAAATTGAACATAATAATCCAATTATAATTACCTTATTTTTCCCTTTTGTTTTTCTTTTTCTTATAAGGCTGGCCGTCTGGGTATAAAATTACTTATATCGTACTCTTCTATTTCATTACATCATTTTCTTAGTCTATTTTTAAAAGAAAAATCCTATGAAATAATTTAATTTTGATTTTTTAATTTTTACTTAAGTTACATAATTTATAGCCATGCAAGTATTATGATGAATATTTACGACTGCTAATTTCATTTTATCCTGTATATAAATGGAGCACTTAATAACAACGTAAAAAAGTAAAATGATAAATAAAATATTAATGAAAATATAGCAAACCAAAAATATTTGAATATAAGCAAGTTGAGTTGATTATTTGAATCCCTGCAAACTATATTTGCTCTAATTAAGTGCATTTCTCAGGGCATTAAAATAAAAAGTACTAGCTCTTTAAATCTTTTTGGCGTATTAATTTCCAACATCAGAAAAAGACTGCTAAAAATATAGGACCTAAAATACGTACTAGTATGATTAAGACATACTCACAACTATTTTTTATTGTTTGTATATTTTTTTTTTATTTCAATTAGTCTAGAGTATGTATAGTCATGTTCGATGTATTTATTTTAGATCCTATATTTTCTATGAGTATTTTATTTTTATTATAGAACTATATGCCATAGATAATGCAAAGAATTAAAGAAGGAAAAAGGTCAGATCAAGTGCTTAATTACGTTTTATTCAATTAGTGGTACTTTCTATTATATTCTTTCCTCCTTTTTCTATTCCCTCTGGCTAGTTCTTCTATTTTAGGTTCAAGTTGGTTACATTAAGCTTGAATAACAATTTTAATTATAAAAACACTCAAAAAGTATTGGTCATCGTCAGGGGTGGTCATTCGTCGAAAAATTACATTGTGATATAGATAAAATATTAGGTTCTAAAGGTATATAACATATATTAAACACCTTTTATCGGGAAATTTATTTTACTTCTTTTAAATTTGAACACCCTTAAAAAAAAAATTTGGCTTCGCCACTGGCCATCGTACATGAATATGTATTATCATAAAAACTAAATTACTAAAGTCGTATAAGAACATTTTATCTATAGTACTAGTCTGTGATGTTCCAGCTACCTAAGAATGCTTTGGTCTTCTTTCTTTCTTTCTTTTGTTCTTATTTCTTTTGTTCCAGCTACCTAAAAATGCAAGGTAAATACATTGCATTTTTAATCTATTAATAAGCAATTTGCATCACTACAAGGTAAATAAAGGTGGAAAGGGTAACTATTTTATCAGACAATTTGAGACCTCTATGCAATCACACAAGCTGTCTATTTAGTAATTTCTACTACCTGTGCTGAAATAGTGCACCCATTCATGTGAGAAAGTAATTTTTTTTCAAGATAACTTACCATATATTCTGGTTGAACTCTAAATATCACAAAATGCGGGAAGCAAGATTCAGATGGTTCGGGCACATTCAAAGGAGGAGCATTGATGCACCAGTGAGGAGGTGTGAGCGACTGGTTGTGGTGGGCATGAGGAGAGGTAGAAGGAAACCTAAGAAGTATTGGGGGAGGTGATCAGGCAGGACAGGGCACGATTTAGGATTTCTGAGGACATGACACTTGACATGTTCCCTTAAGTGAATGGGAACAATAGCTAAACCATGAATTGTTTATTGAAGCCAAGATTCATCTCATCCAGAAAATGTTACACCATATAAAGAGGACAATAAGCTCACTTTGAACTGAATTTGCAGGTTTAGTAGGGGTGTTGTTACTACCAAAGTGATTTGATTGTAGCTACCAAGACAAAATATGTGAAAGAAAAGAAGGCTCTGGGAAAGCCTCTCTTATTTGTATTTTTCTATTTTGTCTTTGGCTCGGCCAAAATATGAGACCCGAAGGGTCCCGGCGCACAATCCTATCCTATCCGAGTCCGAGTTTACCCCTTGCACTTCGGACAGCCGTCCGTAACATCATAAGGAGGACCCCCTTTCGAGGTACAAAAAGAGTGACAAAAGCACGAAAGCATTATACAACAACAACACCAATAACCCAGTATAATCTCACTTAATGGGGTTTGGGGAGGGTAGTGTGTACGCAGACCTTACCCTTACTCTATGGTAGAGAGACTGTTTCCAAATAGACCCCTGGCATCCTTCCCTCCAAGAACTTCCCACTTTGCTCTTGGGGAGACTCGAACTCACAACCTCTCGGTTGGAAGCATTATAGACCATGTAAAATAAGTACCATTTGAATTCTCAGAAAAGATAATATAGTTGTATGCCAAACGTACCCAATAATTATGTCATCATGCTGATTCTGCAATTAAATTAATTAGAAAGACGAAGTTTATGTTTTCATAAAACTTTAATCATTTACCCCAATTTAAATCACCATGGCCTTTTACAAAATTAAACTTTTGGGCAATTTTTTGAAAAAAGAATTTCAGGAAAAAAAAAAAAAGTTTGTGAAAGAAAAGAGCAATGTCTTTTCGATAGTTGTATTTTTTCCGTGGTTTTCTAGTTATTTGTGAATCAAAATAATGGTTTGTCAAAATTTTCCTCAACTTTTCCACCCAAAAACTTTCTCAAGTATTTATATTTCAGTTCTAAATCCAAATTCCTATTCAGTTTTATTCAGAAAGACCAAATTTGCAGGTAGTAACCACTATAAATTAACTTTCACTATTCATAAAAGAAAATGAATTTTCAAAAGGGCCCAACCGGGTTCGAACCGGTGACCTCTTGATCTGCAGTCAAATGCTCTACCACTGAGCTATGGACCCCCGTTGTTGACAATCTAAAATACATTTTATTAGTATTTATTAAATGATATTTTTACTGATATTAACTCTTTAGTTCCCCTACATGTTTGATATAGAATGCAAACATGCTACTATAGTCTAGAGATCACAAAAATGACCGTGTAACAGGGTCCAAAATTTAAATTCTATAGATTCAATGTTTAAGATTATTAGAATTTTATTTTTTAAGTTATGGATTCGTATATACTATTTGTTATAATTTTACTAGATTTTTATGCATAAATTTATGCTCCTGTGATGCTAAATTGCTTTTGGTCAACAGTACTAACTTAGCCATTATAATAACATATTTTTTGAAATATTTCAATTTGACAATGCAAATAGGATTGGAAATATTTTAACCAAAAATTCTCTTAGTATGGAGCTACCTCTGACTAACATTGACCATCACTAAAAAGTTATGTGTATGCTTTTGGGCTAACATTGTTTGAATTGTTAACAGGTAAGAATTTTTGCAGAAGTTGTTCCTGGAAATTCAGGGTTGTTGATATAATAACAACAACAATAACAACGGCTCAGTATAATTCCACAAGTAAGGTCTGGGGAGGATAATACGTACGCAGACCTTACCCCTACTCCGAGGGACAGAGAGGTTGTTTTCAGGAGACCCCCAGCTCAAGTTGCTGATATAATAAGATGAGTGATATTGCTGGCCTTACAAATTAAGTCGTCCGACCAATCATTTTGATCTATTGCTAAAGCAGAACCTGATTATACTGGTGAGAGGTAATAGGTACTCTATAGAATAATCGAGGTGTATACAAGTTGCCTCGAACACCACCAATTATTTAAAGAAAAAGCATAGAACACAAGGCAGGCATAAAGTTCTTGATGGTATGTTTCATGTCTCTAAGGTGTATTCTGCACCTAGCCCCATTCGGCGCCACGTGACGCCGCTTCTTCATATTTTATTAAGTGAATTATGATTTATAAATTGTCCCCTACAATGCGTTAGATGGTGTGATCTCTTATCAACACAAAAACCTCAAAATTGGACTTAAAATATGCTACATAAACCTTGAGTTTATTCTCTTCTAGAGTGAAGAATCCTATGAATTTAGCAAATTCGGTTTGTTAAATTTTGAGTAAAATAACGAGGTTTAGAAATTTTAAGCCATTACAAATGGAAACATTCATAAATTTAATCGAATAAAATTAAACAAGAGCTTACTGAAGGAGTAGTATAAATACAATACAGTTCATGATTGTGGTTTCTTCTAGGAAATTATTCGTGGGTTCGCGATAAGTCAATTTAGGGGAAAGTTGATAGAAAATTTAGGCCAATACAAATTCAAACATTCATAAATTTAATCAAATAAAATTAAACAAGAGCTTCCTAAAACGGTAGTACAAATGCAATACACTTCGGGGTCGTTTGGTAGGGTGCATAAGAATAATACTGAATAAGGTGTATTAGTAATGCTGGTATTAGTTATGCTTGTATTAGTTATGCTGGTATTAGTTATGCTGACATATTTCTTATCCATCGTTTGGTTTGATGTATTAAAGCATTGCACAATTTTTAAAAGAATTGTTTATTTACAAAAATGCCCTCAAAACCAGTCCATCACTCATGAGAAATGTTTTTATATGAAAAAATTTTAAAAAAATTATTTGATTTGTCTACATATATTGTAATATAGAACTAAATATTTATTTATAAAAAAGGGAATATGTTAAGTATTTATTTATTTACTAGAGCTATAATTTTATTTCTCACTACTTGGATTATTTTAAACTTGCATTTAATATAATAACTAGCATATTTTAATCAAGCATAAATTTTGAAGGATAATTTTGTCTTTAACTAAGCTAACGCATGCATTAAAACTCATTGCATTGCTAATACCATGGTTTTCTATGCATTAGTTATGCATAGGATAATACCAAATAGGATGTATAAGTAATACTTGCATAACTAATACATAGGTTCAAAATGTCTACCAAACATGGTATTATTAATACACAAAATTACTGCATGCATTATTTTATCTAATGCATCCTACCAAACGACTTTCGTGATTGTGATTCCTTCTAAGAAATTACTTATGGGTTATTGATTAGTCAATTTGTCATTCAACGTATTGTAGCAGAAAGTTGATAGAAATTAAGTGGAAACATGTAATTCTTTTTCTTTTTTAACCTTTCCACATTCAATAAATGAAACAATTTATTACTAGTGAATTTTGATCAAT